AGTATGGAAACTGTGATGCCAAAAAAACAAACAAATCAAGATAATAGAAACATGATTTAGTTTCATTAGAATATGTTCGTCATCTGTCATAGATAAAGGAAACAGTATATATTCCTGTAAGAAATGCAATGGGGTAATAAATGACACCCACTTGGTCATTTTAGTCGCCTGATGATTAAGGCCATCTTAATCTTTAGACCTAAGAGTAGAAATAAACTCTCTGAAACTGGGTGTTTGGGCAGTCTGAAGCTCTTTTGGTGCACATATATGTCCTCGTATATACGCTGCCTTCATTATGTTGAAACTTTGACTGTGTTTAATATAATACAGCATTAATGCACTTCAATACGAGCTTTGACACCGATTCTATTTAAGAGGAAATGAAAAGAGTATCAGATAGCCCCTTCAAGAGCAGCAGGAAGGGGAGGAGTCAGAATATAACCTGCCAAGCAGGCAGGTTAGATTCGCAGACGCTCTGAACCTGGCAAGTGGCTCACAGTTTAAAATCAGCTCTTTTCTTGAACAGATAACCCAAAGATTCTCTTATTTCAGAGTCAACAAAGTCAAGAGGTGTCTGGAACATGGCAGTGAACATGTACTTTCCTCCAAAAACACAGACTGACACAGCAGATAAAGAACTGAAGACGAACATCCTGAAAGCTCAGAAGATACAAATCACCACTTCTGGTCAAAACTTTCAGAATAAAGTCAAAGCAAAAACAGGATGTTTGTGAGAGGGACCTTCAGCCTTGAAATGACGTGGAATCCAACCACACGATGGTCCCGATAGCACAGCTGACAGCGCTGTGACTCCTCATCAGCACACATCACACCAGAAACATGTCACATCTCACAGCATCGCTCAACACACATCAGAATGAGTCAGTGTTGCCATGGCAGCAGGTGATATTACATCACAGACCTGACACTGTCTCCATGATAACAGTAGGCATCATGTCTGTGATAGGGCTGTGTTAATGACAGTTTTTACAGTCAAATTCAAGCAGATGCCACACTTCATAAACCACACAGGCCCAGAGCGCTCGGATCTTTACTGCAGTCTGTGCCCTAAACCTGCATTCGCTCTATTGGCCAGCAGGGGGCAAAACCTATGTTTGCAACATCCCCCCTCAAACAAAACAAAACCTTACTTTTTACTAGAGATGAACCGATCAGATATTACGTATCAGTATTGGTCCGATACTGACCTAAATTACTGGATCAGATATCGGAGAGTAATGAAAAATGTAATCCGATCCATTAAATATCACAAAAGCACCTCACAAAACTTGCAACATGGCGTAACTCAGCTCTAGGGCTGCCACAAACAATTATTTTGATAGTCGACTAGTCACCGATTTTTGCGATTAGTCGACTAATCAGATCATCATCCATTGAACGCAAAACGTACAGCTTATTGCACCAGCAGCATCTGCTCTTATATAACTATCATTAGCTTACAGCTTTAAGTGTTTAAGGTCTGTGCTAACTAAAAATAAAGACAAGTTGATGGGTTATTAAATTTTAATGACATTTGCAGATTGTTTCAGTGAAGTTTAATAAACTCCTTGCTATCTAAAATATAACAGGACACCGCAGTATATTCTCGAGCATCTCACACTTCTGATAATCAGCTGTCTCCTTGACGTTTATTCAGCTGTGTAAAAACTATAACTTTAATCTCAGCCAAACCGATTTACTCAGGAACAAATAAAATAC